CCAGGAATATTGCAGAGTAGATGGGAGCCAGGCAGGTAAAACAAAACAAAAAAACCCCACCCCAGCAACAAACAAACAAAAACATAAAATGGTATCTGTGGTAGGGCCACTATGAGGAGATGTGGTTAAAAGGAGGCAGGGGCCCTGTTATAACCACCTTGACAGCTAAGAAGAGCTGCTGAAGAACTTCAGGCAGAGTAAAAGCATCAGACTTGTGTTTCAGACATGGCTGGTTGGTGGCTGGGCTGTGGGGCTGGTTGGGGAGGAGGCAAGTGGCAACAGACAGGGATAGAAGCTGGCATGGGAACCCAGGCAAATGAGGCTATGGGTATGGACCCAGGTGGTAGAGACACAGGGGGCAGGAATGACCAACTTATAGAAAGAAGGAGGCACTGTGATATTGAACTGGAGCAGGGGTAAGGGGTACATGAAGCATCCCTGGAGCAAGTAGCAGAGGATAAAGTATGAAATGCCTCTGACAAAGCTTCAGGTCGCCTTTGGGTAGATGATGGTGCTTTTTATCAAGACTGGCCATGAGGAAGAGAAGCAAATGTAGCAGAAAAGGCACACTTGGGTAGAGCTACCCAGTATGAAGGAGGATAGGTAAGTGTGGCACCAGAGAGGGAGGCCCAGTCTATAGATCTTAACTGGGAGTCAGGAGCTTCAACTACACAGCATTAGGGATGTGGATTGGTGGTTGGGAAAGCTCAGAAGGTGGAGCCTGATGCTGGGGAAGAAGTCTGTTGAGTGAGGGGAGGAGCATCCCACTGATCTGCACCTCCCTCTGAGAGCAGAACTGAGAGCTGGCTGCTCCTCTGAGGTCTCTTCCCTGTCCTACCCACCTTACACATGGCAATGAGAATTCCTGAACTGTCCCACTTTTATTACTGAGCAAGCCACTTTCATAGTCTCTAGTGTCAAAACTAGAATCTGCTGTCAGCTACGACAGCAACCCCTCATCATCAATTGCCTTGTTATTTCCTACTTCTCAATGTGCATGCTGACACTTCTCCCTCAAACAAGGCTCCTAGAGATGTTCCTGTTCAAGGCTGCACTGTCTCCATTTCAACTCTGGCTGCTTCTCTCCACTAGAATGACTGTCATGAGTCTCATCCTTCCACCTGCCAAATCATGCCCACTGCAATCCCTGAAGCTTTTGTGGGAAGTGCTATCCATGCTGATGGCACTCTTGCCCCATGGGTAAAGCAGTGACAGGAACTGTTCTTTAAGCATGAGTCTGGCTAGCAAGCTCCCCTCTGACCCTTGGGGACCTTAGGAAAACCCTCTTATCTCTCTCAGGGCTGGTGCTGGGAGTAAACGAGACCATATATGCAAAGCACTTAGTAAAAGACCGGCATTACACACGGTGGCATTCTTGCTAGTAATGAGTGAAACATGGCAATTCTGCAAGAGAGACAAGCCCAAGCTCCACAATTACCAGAGCTGCTGGTTGGTTTTTCCGCAGCTCCACATGCAATAGACGTCCTAGTGTATGATATACACTAAGTACAATTTTTTTGGGGAAAAAAAATCAAAGTAAACCCTTCTTCCTGGGATCACATTTCAATGTAACTCCCATATACGGCTCTCATACATATGCATGAAGATGAAGATGAGAGATAATCTCTTTGGTGGTAGTTTAATAGAAGAGTTCTCTATATAATAACTTATCATTCACAAAGATAAAGAGTCAACCCAGCCCCGTGAGGAAGTTCAGTAGGCTATGGTAATGTGGTTGAGGTCTATCAATAAGGGACTCTAATCAGAAGTATGCTCTTTGCTACCCAGAAAAGCATTCAGAGCCAAGGTCCCAACAACAGCCCAGGGCTGTGCTCCAGCTCAGTGGACAGCACTACTCACAGGGGCAGTGTCTTTCCAGTGCCAAGTGGGAATGTACCCTCAGGCAGGGCAAGGGTTCGAGGTTTCACTCACTGAGGAAGACCCTGTGGTAGAGAAAGATACTGTGTGGCATTTGAAGTCGGCCACAAGGAAAGAACTATATATGGGTACCTGAGATCCTAGGGTAAGGCGTTTATGAATAGCCGAGAACTACACTCTTGTAAAAATCTGCTGTTATACCATAAAGTGCCTGTCCAAGAGCCAAAGTGAGTATGGGGGCCTGCAATGGAGATCCATCAAATTGCAGGCCCTGTATGCCTAGTGGAAACCTACTGCCAGGTGGAAATAACATATCTGGGATCAGCCTGGGCAGGGCCAGAGTATACAGGTCTCCAGAAGTGGGTGTGCCTGACACTACATCAGCCTCCTCTCTTGCATCAAAACTTCTCCCCAGCTCAGACCTACCACCACAAGTTAGCAAGTCTGTGATAACCAAGTGACGGAGGAGAACAAAGGCCAAATTTGGTTCATGGATGTGTTGTTGAAAGGAATCCTAGCTGCTCTATGGCACCAAGAAGGGAGGACCCTTGAAAGACTTAAGGAAGGGAAATCCTCCCAGAGGTAGAGCGGGCAGGTGCCTTCAGTCATCTGCTTAGTGTGGAAAGAGAAGTGACCTGAAGGTAATAATATGCAATATAAGGATTCACTGGGGGTGGCAAAAGACTTGGTTGGTCAGTCAGGGGAATAGAAGGCAGGAGACAAGGAAACCCGAAGAATAGGTGAGTGAACACAACTAAAGGGAAGTATGTGGCTTTGTTTTCCAGATTAATGCCTACCATGAACATCCATCACAGACAAAGGACCAAGCGTGAAGCAGTCAGAATGACAGTGACATTATTACTGTCTGTCCCAGTATTGGGACAGGATCAGAGTAGCCATGGTGGCAGGGATGGAGGTTATGCAGGGGTTCCAGGCACCCAGGATGATCTAGCTGTCACAGAATATGCAGTCTTCTACCAACAGATGGGGCTGAGCCCGATATACCCCCACAATGAAAAACAAATGGTCACTTAGTGCCAAGTTGGTTACACTGGGCGCTATTCCAGAATCATGATTCTCCTACTTGTATGTTGAAGCCCTACTGCCTCAGCATAACTGTATTTTTTAATTTATTATTTTTATTTTATTTGTATGAGTGTATTTCCTGTATGTATGTAAATGTACCCATGTCACCCAATGTCCACAGACATCAGATGAGTGTGCTGGATCCCTTGGAACTGGAGTTATGGATGGTTGTTAGCTGCCATGTAGGTGCTGGAAACTGAACCCGGTGCTCTTAACCACTGAGCCATTTCTCCAGTCCCAACATGACTATATTTAAAGACAGGGTCTTTAACAGTTAATTATGGTTAAGTGATGCCACTAGGTGGGCCCTAATGAATTGTTTTCTTACAAGAAGACTGTGGCTCAGAGCAGACTGCCAAAAGTATGGCACTCAAGTGTGCTGGGCACTTTGAACTGAAGGACTCTGGAAGGCCTTAGAAGCAAGGTCTCTGTGACCTTTTCCTGCCATCTCTTTGCATGACAAGAGTAAATCATGGAAACTATAACTTCTTTTCTCCACGGCAGGTCACAGATATTAGAAACCCTCTCATACAAAGCAAACTGTAAAACCTAAAAAGAGCATTCTCTTCCTTTTCCCTTGAAGACTATCATTCCAAAGGGTCCTACCAGGAGGAAGGAAGAATCTGAGCAGACATGCTTTGCTGAGTTCCTATTACCATTAGATCATACCCTTCATTCTTCTCCAGGTGTCTTTACAGGACCTCTTGCCTCCTGGCAAACTTAAGGCTTCACCTACAGCCTGTATTCACTATGGATGTACTTCTTCTCATGTAGTTCCATGTTCTCAGTTCTTATCTCTACAGAGTTGAATCTGTCATCTACACCTTCACCTCTGAGCTCTCCAAGAGAGTAGGTTCTCTTTCCTTGAACATATCATGGGTATCTATATCATTTATTTCAGTTACTTCAAGGTCAAATGGGCCTGTAAAGAACAACTTTTGCATTTTTCTCTTCTGTCTGCCACTCCCACCCAAGATAGAAACACTGGGCCCCACATCCCCAATGGGAGCCCAAGGATGTCAGACTAGACCTCATTTCTCCAGGCTGTTGTGAGACCTGGCAGCCCCACCTCTTATTCCTGGGGGCAGACAGGGTGATGGCAGGAGAGAATCATGTATCTCTTACTACCCCAGCAGGAGGAAGAGGAGGAGGAGGAGGAAAAGGAAGAGGAGGAAAAGAGCCAGTGTGTTGGGTCAAAGTGTCCAAGGAAGATCATGTCTGAAATTTTAGCTTGACATATAGTAACGTTCTGCTCTCCTTACCCCCTTGAAAGATAAGCATAATGTCATAATTTTTGAATGATACAGTATTTGTGCATAACTGTGCAATCGCTCCTGATTATAAATGACAAAGTTAAGAAAACACAAAATTTACAGGATTTACTCATTGGTTCTTCCCTTCAAATTTTCTTATCTTCATGTTCATGTCAAGCAAGGAAAATCATGAAGCTTTACATTTGTTCTTCATGCACAGCCTTGACTAGCGCTTTAAACAGGAAGACACTGTGGCTTTTACAAGATTACAAACATAGATAAATATCCTATCTTGTTAACTAGGTTGGGTTTCTCTAAGAAATAATGCTTAGAATAAGAATGTCCAATTGTTCATCTGTAACTTACTTTGTTATCCTAAAAAAAAAAAAAAAACCCAAAAAAAAAAATAAAATAAATAAAAAGCTGTCAAAAGGGCTGGAGAGATGACTCAGCAGTTAAGAGCATGGGTTGCTCTTGCAGAAGACCTGGGTTCAGTTGCCAGGACTCATGTGGTGGCTAACAACCATCCAGTTTTAGGGGAATCTGACGACTTCTTCTGACCTCCATGGGCATTGCACAGCATGGGTGCACCCAAAAAAAACAAAAAAACAAAAAACCAAACATGAAGAATAGCTACTATCAGAGACCTACATTCTACCTGGAAACATGTCAAATGAACATTGTAAAACACAGGAATAAAATGGAGTCTCTGTCACATAGTCACAAAAGAAAAGCCTCCAGGGGTCACCAAGTATTTCAGACTGTGAATCATTTGGATCTTACCTGCTGCCTCTGACGCCTCACTTGTGCAAACTGAGAGAGCATCAGCTGCCGATCGAGCTGCTCCATCCTCTGCTGCCTTTGGATGTCCACAGTAGCTCCCATCCCAACTCTGGCCTCATTGGTGGGTTCTGAAGATGAGAAGATGGGTTCAAGAGTCCAAGAGAAGAACTGAGCCATCCCACTGGGGATGCAGAACACCTGGTGAACCCGGAAAACTTTGTGATCATAGCACATGCCAGAAATCTAAAAAAAAGAAGAAAAATCCAACTGGATTCTTCAAATGTAACAAAGATCAAAGTAACATATTTAACAGAGAAAACAAATAATGGCAAAACAGATGGTATTTCTAGTTTAAGCAGTGTTAGGTGATAAGCAAAAACTCTAACCAAGTTGCTGAATATAGAGCAGTACAAACCAATTTATTTTTGCTAAATTAGGAATGAGCAAGATCCCAATTATCTAACTTTCTAAGTACAATATCTAAAGAACAGTGCCTTCATTTTAAAAGAAATCCTGAGGCTGGAGACAGGGATCAGTCAGTAAAGTGCTTGCTATGCAAATATGACAACCTGAACTGGATTCTCAGCATGCATATAAAAAGCCAGGCATGCTAGTGCATGCTTGTAATCCCAGTGCTGATGAAGCTGAGACAGGTGGCTCTTTAGGGCTGACTGGCCAGCCAGCCTAACTGAATTAGCAAGACCCAGGTCCCAGTGAGAGAGCTTGTCTGAAGAAGTAAGGTGGGTAACTCCTGAGGAAGATGCCCAAGGATGACCTCTGACTTATACACACACACCCCAAATAGAAGACATCCATAAAAGATCTGATTATCTAAACAATTTCATACTGTACTAACTCTGTGGTTACCATTATTGGCAGATGGCCATGAGAGAGACACCTGACCCAGTCACTTAATATACTTACCAGTCTAAGTCTTAAGCTTTGGCTCAAGCATGAATATTTTTCTAGATATTTAGCTCCTCATTAATATTAGTTAGCAATATTTCTTTTTACAAAAAAATCTATTTTTCTCTTTTAAGGTCATTTATATGGAATGAGAAATTTCCATAATTTCTGTGACTTTCTATGTAAAAATGACCACATGTATTCTTTACAAAAAAGATTTTCTAGTCTGACTCTTACACTAAGAGATTATTCATACCAGATAAAAGAATCTGGGGCTGGAGAGATAGCTCAGTGGTTAAAAGCACTGGCTGCTCTTGCAGAGGACCCAGGTTTGATTCCTAGCACCCACACGGTGGCTAACAGCCATCTATAACTCCAGTTCCTGGGGCACCAATGCACTCTTCTGACTTTAATGAGCACTGAACAACATGGTTCACTTACACACATGCAGACAATACACTCACACACATAAAATAGAAATAATAAATAAAATATTAAAAAAGAATTAAACAATTTTCTGACCAATATTAGAAAGGTACACCGTAGGACTAGAGAGATGGCTCTGCTCTTGCAGAGGATCTGGGTTCGATTCCCAGCACCCACATGGCAGCTATGAACCATCCTTAATTCCAGCTCCAGGGGAATCCAAAGCCCTCTTCTGACCGCAGCATTGCACGACATGGGTGCACTCACATACATGAAGGCAATACACTCATACACATAAAATTAAAAAAAAATATATATATATATATAAAAGAAAGGTACACGGTAATGTTTTATATTTGTTTTATTGAAACAAGTTCTTGTTATATGTAGCTTAGGTTGGCCTAGAACTTGCAATCCAACTGCTTCAGTCGTCCAAGTGCTGGGTTTAGATATATACCATTGTGCCCAGATAATGCTTTATTAATGTAACTTAATTAGGCAAGGACTTATGAGCACCTTTACAGAGAATACTGTAGAAGACAAGCTAAACGAGGTCCCACTCTTACAGAAATAAGTGCTTAATGCAGAGAAAAGGTGATACATATGTGAAGCCATGTAAGAGTCTTAGACATGTTCTGTGAAGGACACTAAAGTGACTTGGACCAGGGACCTACTTTAGGTTGGGTGGTGAGAGAGCCCTTAGAGGAAGGAATATGCAAGCGAAGATCTTAAAGATAATGAGATTCCAATTAATAATAAAGGAAGAAGATTCCAAAAAGAGAGAGAAAAAAAACAAACAAACAAACAAAACAACCAGCAAGTACTGTGTAGGAATGAGCATGTAGTCAGGAGCTGGATATGCAAACCTGGAGCCCAAAGAAACAGTTAGGCAGAGAGAAGGATTTAGAAGCCACTTAACATTACACAGAATTTAAGCCAAGAGACTAGATAGCATGGGGGTGGGAGAGGACAAAAGGACAAGATGAAGAGATAAACCCAGAAGTATACTAAAGTTCTGTGGATGGATGGAATAGGAGACATCTGTAAACAATTCGGAGAAAGGGCTGCTGGGTGCAGCAGGGAAGCTAGGAGAATTCAGTGTTACTGGAGCCCTAAGAGGAATGCTTGAAGAGAAGAGTCAGCGATGCCCAATACAGTTGCAGGTAAGCAAGGGCAGGCCTGCTGGGTGTGGCCCAAGGTGGCCTCTGGCCTTAGCACACAGTCTGGAGCAGCAGCAGGAGCAAAGAACAGACTGGTAGGCTCCACAGTGCATAGTGGAGGACTTTTGGTTTCAAATAATTTCTGTGCCCCTTCTCTCAAAAAACTACTACTAAACAACAAAGAAAATGAAAACAGAAAGAACTTCATGTCAAGTGAAACTAGAAAGCATCCATAAACCTGAGCCATGAAAGCGATGGGAGGTGAGATGCAAATGCCTTCAGAGGCTCCTATGGATCTCGGGCCCAGAGCTCTGAGCCAGGGACTGTGGGAGGCAGCAGATGACTTAGGTCTATAAGAAATACCCTACTTCCTCCCCATACTCACATAGCATCTCTCTCTCTCTCTCTCTCTCTCTCATCTATCAATCATCTATCTATCTATCATCTATCAATCAATCATCTATCTTTCATCCATCCACCCAACCATCCATCCATCTACCCATCCACCCATCCATCCATCCTCTCTCTGCTCCACATTGAGAAGATAAAAGCCTGATGGTACAGGAATCCCAAGGGTTTGAGCAGGTAGAACAGGAGGGAGCCTGCATACTCCATGCATCACAAGTCATGGGGGAAAGATGAGAGAGGGAATATGGGACAGTGGAATTATATTTAAAGAGATTATAGCTTAGGGTTTTCTAGAGTTAAACAAAGAATATAAATCCAAAGTACAATGCGAAAATTGGGCTGGTGAGATGGTTTAGAAGGTATGGGTGCTTGCTACCAAGCCTGACAACCTGAGTTAGAACCTGGGACCCCACATGGTAGAAAGAGGGAACTGACTCCTGCAAGTTGTCCTCTGACTTCCACATGTGGCACATACACATACACATACACATACACATACATACACACACACACACACACACACACACAAATAAATAAATGCAAAAATTACCAAAAGACAATAAAAGGAAGTCTACTTTGAGATTCAGTATAGTAAGACAAAAATAAATTCTTAAAAAGCAATCAGATAAAATACTGACCACCTAAAGAGGAAAAATGATGGACTACCAGCATACAAGCAACAAAAACCATAAAATACTAGAAATAATCCAATTAAAACTATGTGATAAGGCCTTGGTAGAGAGAACTGAAAAAGTATAATAAAGAATAATTTAAAAAAACCCCTCATTCCTAGTAATAAATATACCACCACCCATGAATGGGAAGATCAAAATTAAGACACCCATTTTTTACCACTTAATATGTAAGTTCAATGTATTGCAGAACAGAATCTTAATAGGATGCTTGTTGGATTGTTTAAGTTGGTCTAAGCTAAGTTACACATTGAGTGGTAAACTGGTAAAGTCAAGGCTGAAAATAAAGAGCAAGTTTTCACCAGCACCCCTGGGCAGGGAAAGTTCACAAATGGCACTACTATAAAATGTTTCAGATAGTCACAATAGGTTAAAATATATAAAACTTAGAAGAAGTTTCCCATAAATTTGATAATTACATCATCTTATTCCATGAAAAGATGAGTAAGGACATTAAAAATTTACCTAATTTCTATCAAAAGTGTTCACAGTATTACTTATCACATTACACAATACTTTAGTTATTTGAGACAAGGTCTCCTGTGGCTCAATCTGGCCTCAAACTCACACATAGTAGAGAGTGGCCTTGATGTCCTGATCTTCCTGCTTCTACCTCCATGTAGTACCATGCTCAGTTCTATGTGGTGCTAAAGACTAAATGCAGGGCATGTATGCTAGGAAAGCACTCTTTCAACTGATCTACATCTCCAGCCTGAGTAGTTTTTTCCTCAAAATCTGCAGTTTGTTAAAAGACAGAGAGAGAGGGGGAAAAAAAAAAGGCTTTAAAACTACACCCATAGCAGGGAGTGTAGTTCAGTTGTAGAGTTCTTGCCTAGCATTCATGAAGCCCTGAATGCAGTCTTCAATAGAGAAAGAAGGGGGACGGGGGTGGGGGGATAGGGAAGGAAGAGAGACCAAGGAGGGAGGAAAACAGACAGTGAGGAAGGGAGGAAGGAAAAGAGGAAGGGACAGCATAAAAGACCATATGCTGGGGTCTGCACTTCAACGGGCCAAGGGGAACTAACCCAGGATCAGTGAGGCTCTGAAAGGCTAGGAGACCAAACATCGAGCTAAGGGCCACCAACAAAAATAACAGCAGATGACTAGATAAAGCAAAAGGGTACACCACATATCAGGGAAAGCCTGCTAGGTCAAGACCAGGAGTACTCAAGCAGGAGTTAGGATCCCTGGTTTGTAAAAGGACCAAGCAGAGACCACTTTGACCCACATCTATGCAAAGTCTAGCTGTGGCTCTGGAGTACAGGCAGGTATGTTCCATAGCAACAGTGGAAGCTATCTGCTCAAAGGTCTGAGCACGTACAATAGAAAACTGTTTTCTTTTAGGTCACTAAAACATGGACAGCAACTGCATATGTATTCAGGTTTTCACACCATTAATCTTTCAGAAAGGGAATCTCAGAATAAGGCTCAAAGAGCAAATAAATAATTGAATTGCTAGCTGGAAAACATGTGAACACTCTTGATTACAGAGATAACCTCAACTGTTCTCTGGTCCTGTTTAGGGTAAGCTTGAAACCACAACAGGCAAAGGAGAGAAACCATGATCTGGCAAGGACACCCAGGTTGCTGATCTCTTTCTCAGGGCCAACTGTGGCGTACTGAGATCCAGAAGGCAAGTGGCACTGCTGGG